CTTCCTAGCCACCTTTTAATCCCCTCCTGTCACTTGCAGAAATATCCCTTTACTTCCCAAAAACCTTGCATTATGACTCTTTGTCCACTTGTTCACCCATCCATCCATTCATCCATCCATATATACATTCAACAGATATTTGCCAAGTGCCTACTCTTTGCTAGGGACTCTTCCTCCCTTCATGATGCAAGTGATGAACACGTTTGGCTACTAACCAAAAGATTGGTGGTTGAAATCCACTCAAAGACTCTTTGGAAGAGGATCAATAATTGAAAACTCAGTGGAACACATTTCTACACTAACCTCCATGGGATTGCCGTGAGTTGGAGTCAACTCACTGTCAGCTGTTTTTTTTTTTTTTTTTTTTCTCATTCCTCCCTGGAAGATATAAACATCCCTTCCCCAGTCCTCTGTAAGTTCTTTATTAATTTTTTTCCCCCCTTTTAGGTCTAGTTAATACATACCCATGACAAAATGCAGTAACAGGGTATACCATAAAAAGTAAGTTCCCTCACCCACATTCTTCTTCCAGAGATAGTTTGCATATTATATGTATATAAGCAGATATGTATGTGTGTATATAGACATTCATGCACTTTTAGTGTACATATTTTAAGTTACTTTGACCTAAGGTCTCAGGAAAAAATGTTTCAAACACTTCCTCTGAGTCATTCCTAAGATTGAGAGATGGCTTTCCAAAGCCCCAGCCTTTGTCTGTCTCGCCCCTTGCCAGAAAACTCTTTCTTTGATGTAACTCTCTGACCTTGTAAAAGGAGATTGATGATGTCTGTTTCCCTAGAGTTGGTGACAGGGGCCACCTGTGGAGAGCCAGTGTGAGGCCTTTGTCTGCTGTTTGTCTCACTTTCTTCAGAACCTGCAGGGCTGGGCCCTTGTGCTGCCTGAAGAAACCTCCTTGGGCTGGACCTGATATCAGAGCATGGGTCTCTCTTGCCCTCTTTTCTGCCTGGGAGCTGACACTCAGCACCAGGATCCATGCCTTGTTCTGTGCCAGTGGAGCAGAGAGGTGTGATTCAGTCATGTTTGGGATTTGCCAGCAGGCATCATCTAAAACAAATGCTTTTATTATTTGGGAGTCCTGTGACAATGACACACAGAACAGCTGAATACACAACTTGCCCATTCACAGGCAAACACACATCTCAAGTACAAGTGCTCATTTTATTTCCTGGCTTCTCCTTGGATACCTGCATGGTGAGAGAGTAAATTTCCTGGGCACAGGTCATGAAAAGGGAGAGTCCAGAAGGTACTGGGTGGGCACAGGGGGCTTATTGGCAGCAGTTCTGAGGCAAAGAGCCCAGCTCCATAAAACCCACACAGAGAAGAATGTCTGTGGCATGAGGAGACTGTGACACAGTTAGACAGCAGGCAATCATATGGAAAAATCTCATTCTTGGTTTTTGAAACAGGGGCCCTGGATTTGGTTGGGTGACTTAAGGTCCCAAAATTATCTGCATGAAGAATCTAGCAGCTCAGTTGGCTGGGGCCTCCTCCATGGCAGAAGTTGTTTGTAGACCATGGGCAGGTCTGTCCCTGTAGCCCTGATGTCTAGAGTGTGCCTTCCACATGGACATAACAACCCAGGCAAGGCCAGGGCAGAGTGTGGGCAGGAGAGGGTCTCCTGACCTAAGGAGGAGCTCATTTGCTCTCTGGCACATGATATTGTTGATTCTGGTTCTTTGCACTGTTGTGACCTCCAAGTTGTCAGCCAGGCTTTTTTTGCAGAAAGGGCAGCAGGAAGGACAGCCTGTGAACCCACCAAGATGGGCGAAGAGAGAGACGTATTAACTGCTCTGATATGCTCATTGCGGAGCTCACCCCAGCTTCGTTTCCATCCTCAAACCCTCTGCATCTTCACAGGCCTTCACTCTGGACACCTCAAGTTGCTTACTTTCCCTTTTACATACTGCTTATTTTTCTAGTGCCACTGACTCTGATATTCAAGGTCATATTTTGGCTCTCATGGACTTGAATATATCCTGCCTGAATTTAGTGACCATCTAAAGAATAGATATGCACTGAACACCAGTGACTGAAAACCAGAAGAATTGTGGGATGACATCAAGAGTATCATCCATGAAGAAAGCAAGAGGTCATTAAAAATACGAAAAAGAAAGAAAAGACCAAAATGGATGTCAGAAGAAACTCTGAAACTTGCCCTCGAGCAAAGAGTTTGTTGTTGTTGTTGTTAGGTGCCGTCGAGTGGGACCTGACTCATAGCGACCCCTCCTTGGGTTTCCGAGGCAGTATCACTACGAAAGTAGATTGGCCCATCTTCCTTCCGAGCAAAGAGTAGCTAAGGCAAATGGAAGAAATGACAAGATAAAAGAGCTGAACAGAAGATTTCAAAGAGCAGCTCAAGCAGACAAAGCCAATTACTATAATGAAATGTGCAAAGACCTGGAGTTAGAAAACCAAAAGGGAAGAACACACTTGGCATTTCTCAAGCTGAGAGAACTGAGGAAAAAATTTAAGCCTTGAGTCGCAATATTGAAAGATATTCAAAATATTGAACGATGCAGGAAGCATCAAAAGAAGATGGAAGGAATACACAGAGTCACTGTACCAAAGAGAACTGGTTGATGTTCATCCATTTCAGGAGGTGGCATATGATCAAGAACATATTGAAGGAAGAAGTCGAAGCTGCACTGAAAGAATTGGTGAAGAACAAGGCTCCAGGCATTGACAGAATACCTGTTGAGATGATTCCTCAAATGGATTCCCCACTGGAGGCACTCAATTGGTTATGCCAAGAGATTTGGAAAACAGCTACCTGGCCAACTGTCTGAAAGAGATCCATATCTGTACCCATTCCAAAGAAAGGTGATCCCACAGAATGTGGAAATTATCAAACAATATCATTAATGTCACATGAAGTAAAATCTTACTGAAGATAATTCAAAAACAGTTGCAGCAGTATATTGACAAAGAACTTCCAGAAATGCAAGCTGGTTTCAGAAGAGGACGTGGAACAAGGGATATCATTGCTGATGTCAGATGGATCTTGGCTCAAAGCAAAGAATACCAGAAAGATGTTTACTTATGGTTTATTGGATGACACTGAGAAGAATGGGAATTCCGGAACACTTAATTGTACTCATGAGGAACCTGAACATAGACCAGGAGGCTGTCGTTCAAACAAAAAAAGGAAACACTACATGGTTTAAAATCAAGAATGAAGTGTATCAGGGTTGTATCCTTTCACCATACTTATTCAGTCTGTATGCTGAACAAATAATCTGAGAAGCTGGACTATATGAAGAAGAACATGGCATTAGGATTGGAGGAAGAATCATTAACAACCTGCAATACACTGATGACACAACCTTGCTTGCTGAAAGTGAGGATGACTTGAAGTACTTACTGATAAAGATTGAAGAATATAGTCTTCAGTATGGATTACATCTCAATATAAACAAAGCAAAAATCCTCACAACTGGTCGTATAAGCAATATTACGATAAATGGAGAAAAGATTGAAATTGTCAAAGACTTCATGTTACTTGGTTCTATAATCGACGCCAGTGGAAGCAACAGTCAGGACATCAGACGACGTATAGCACTGGGCAAGTCAGCTGCAAAGGACCTCTTTCAAGTGCTGAAGAGCAAAGATGTCTCCTTGAAGACTAAGGTGCGCCTGACACAAGCCATGGTATTTTCAGTCACCTCATATGCATGTGAGAGCTGGATGATGAATAAGGAAGACCGAAAAAGAATTGATGCTTTTGAGCTGTGGTGTTGGCAAAGAATGCTGAAAGTACCATGGACTGTAAAATAACTAACAGGTCTGTTCTGAAGGAAGTGCAGCCAGAATGCTTCTTGGAGGCGAGAATGACCAGACTTTGTCTCCCATACTTTGGTCATGTTGTCAGAAGGGACTATTCCCTGGAGAAGGATGTCATGCTTGGTAAGGTGGAGGGTCGACAAAAGAGGGGAAGGCCCTCAATGAGATGGATTGACACAGTGGCAGCAGCGATGGGCTCAAGTATATATGGCAAGAATCATGGAGCTGGCTCAAGATCCGGTGGTGTTTCGTTCTGCTGTGCATAGGGTCGATATGAGTTGGAGACAACTCGACGGCACCTAACAACAACAACACTGACTCTGAAGAGCTGAAATTTGTTCAGTTCTGGAGTCTGAAGGTCCAAATAGGGGTCTTGGCCATGTAGATTGCTTCCTTGTCTGTGGCCTGAGAATTCCTTGATTTCTTGGCTTGTAGACCAAGGCTTCTGTTTTCCCTAGTTACTTTGTGCCTCTGTGTCTAATCTGCTCTTTTTGTAACTCAGAAGTGATTAGGTTTAGGACACACCCTAGAGTGGTATACCCTCGTTAATATAACAAAGAAAACCCTATTTCCAAACAAGATTACATCCACAAGTATAAGGGCCAGGATTCTAGCACATACTTTGGGGTAGGGGTACAATTCAATCCATAACACCTTGTACTTTTTCGCCTCTGAGCCTTTGGTTTTGCTGTTCCCTCTGCCTGCGTGCCCTTCCTCAAATCCAGATCCCCTGCGTTCTCTTCTAAGAAGCCTTCTGTAATTACCCTAGTTAGACACTCTTTCCTTCTTCTCCTGTACTTCACCTGTACTTTTATCACTGTATTTTATAGCATGTTTCTTATTTACATGCCATTGGACCATGAACTCTTTGAAGAGTTGTCTTGGCTCTTTCACCAACCTCCCTGCCCCTCTGTGTAGTGAGGACATTCTGTAAATACCCCCTACATGGCAGTCTGGAGCAGAATAAAAAGGAGTTCTGTGCCTTAGATAATTCCCTTCACCCTGGGAGCAAGGGTACCCATGCTGCCTGGGATCAGTGCTGCTGCAGGGCATCTTATATAGGTTTGGTGGCTGGTACTATAGCTTGGGGGTGAGTGCTTCCTGAAGAGCCCTTGCATTGGTGGCCTCCATGGCTCTGTGCCCTCCAGCCTGCTGAGCCTGGGCTTTCCTCTGGTATCACCCTGCCTGTCTCTGCATAGCTTGATGACCTGTACCTGATTGCCATCTGCCACCGCCGGGGCATCAAGTCGCTGCGGGACCTCACTTCAGAGCACCTGCCACTGCTCAGGAACATCCTCCGGGAGGGGCAGGTGAGTCACGTTGGTGGGACCCACCTCCAAGCCTGGGGAGTTACACTCAAGTTCCATTGTGTTCCCTGGGCCACTTTCTTCACCCTTCCTAGAAGTCCATCCTGGGAAGATTTTCTCTCTGGGTGCCAGCCACGAGGATCATTTGAAGGCTTTTCAGATTGATGGACAAGGCCCTCTGTAGTGTGGCTCTGCCTGACCCTCCAACCTTACCCCTCAGCTCCCTTCCTCACCCCAGAGTCACCTTCCTCCAGCTTAGGGAAAGTGGGTTTGAATTTGCCTTCTTGTGTTTCCCATGTGGGGCCCCATCTGGGATACCCTCCTTTCCTCCACCCCACACTCTTATCCAAAGCCCTGACCCCTTGTTGAAGCTTTTAGTATCATTGCCATCCTCTGGATTCTACCCCGCAGGTTACCTGTCCTTCTCATGATAACTACATTGTGTCTGACATGTTAACACGTTTCTGCCTGTGTATCTGTGGTGTCTTATCTCCTCATCTAGATTGAGGGTAGAGACTGAATTCTCTAGCATCTGCCCTGCTGGATACTTTCTGTCTGGGTATTTGTTGAATTGAATGAAATCAGGGGAGCTAAAACGAGCCCTGGGGTGGGGAAAAAAGTGTGGGAGCAGAGAGTCCAGAATCTTGGGTTGCAGTCTTTATTCTGACATTTCTACCCTAGCCAGCTAGCTGATTCGTCTTGGGCAAGTCACTTACCTGTCTAGACCTCAGTATCTGTATTAGTTAGTATCCCTTTTAAACCCACCAGTTCTCAGCTTTTGTTTCTTCTCTGAAACATTTAAAGATGCTACCTCCTTGAGTGCCAATGACTGTCATAAGGATGCCCAACTAAGAGGGAGGTGCACCCCCTTTTGACAGCTGCTTCTCCAGGGCTTTAATGCAGACCTGGAGAGAAGGTGTTGGCTGGCCTTGGCTATCTGTCCCAACTTCCACTTTAGGCCTGTTCCCTCATCCGTGTAGCTGTATGCTCCTCCTGCCTGCCTACATCACTGTTTGTTTAGCTGCCATTGACTTTTTAGATGTGACTCATTTTTATCATGACACAGCCTCTGGGTACCAGGAGTGGCAGAGAACAATGCTTCCCTCCTGGGCTAACACCTTGACCTACCCTGGCAGCTCAAGCATCCTCACCCTGGCAGGACGGCCCTACTTTAACCCAGGACCCCTTTGTGCTCTCCCAGCAGCACAGATCTCTGTGGTGAGCTCCAGTACACAATACGATTCTGGGGTAAATTCTTAGCCCCCTGAACCTCTCATATCTTTCTTGTTATTTTTTAATTTTTTAAAATTTTTATTGTGATTTGGGTGACAAGTTTATAGTGCAAATTCATTTTCCATACAGCAGTTCACATACACCTGATCTCATGACATTGACTGCAATTTCCCACAATGCAACAGCTCCATCCCACTTCCTCCCAGTAGTTACCTGTGATGGTTATGTTTGTACGTCAACTTGGCTGGGCCTGATTGAGTGGCTGGGCAGCTGGATGTAGTATTCCCCATGATGAAACTGGTAATCAACTCCATGGTGGAATCTACTGGGAGCAGCTGAGTAGCTGCCTTTGGGTATGTGGTCTGCTTCCTGTATATAAGGAGAAGCTGTGAGAATGGTCTCTAACATATGGCACTCTTGGACCCTGCATGTAGCTGTGTCATTGCTCAGCAGCCTGCTATGCTGTGCCAACCTTGGGACTTACAGTGGACTTAAGTTAATGGCCTGCTGTGTGGATTGGTAACATTGGGACTGTGCCTTTTTACTTGTCAACCTTGGGGCTTCTCAACCTCAGCAGCTAGCAGCTGTCTGAGTGAAGAAATGCCTCTAGCTCCAGTGGGCCAGGAGTAGGAGGCAGAGCTGGTCCCCAAGGTTGAGGGGCTTTCACCCAGCCCCTAGAACCTGGCACTTTGAACTTGAACTAAAAGCCTCCAAATTATAAGAATAAATTCCTGTTTGTTAAGGCCATCCCATTTGTGGTATATTTCTCATCAGAGCAACACTAGGTAACCAGAACATTAACTCTTCCCTGTGTCCTTCCCTCCCATGCACTTTTGCCCCCTGAGCTGTCTCCCTGTGCATACACAGACCTTCTATTCTCCCATGACTGATCTCTCCAAGGACTGTATCTACCTAATATAAATTTTCAGTTCATATGCCTGTCTTTTGTTCGGCTGGAAGCCACAGGAATGGGTTCAATTCCAGACCTGAAGAGCAGCTAGGGACCATAGTCTCAGAGGTTCCACCAGGCTCCATCAGACCAGCAAACCTGGTCCCTTTTTTTTTTTAATGATTTTGAGTCCTGTTCCACATTGTTCTACCACTCTATCCAGGATATCCTACATAGATCCCCCTTCAAGTGGTTGACAGTGGTAGCCCGGTACCATGTAGTTCTGGTTTCATAGTCATATAGGCTGAGAATCCCATGGTGTACCAGTCCCTTGGACTAATTGTTTCTGTGCATCTTTGGTTTTGTTCATTCTTCTTTGCTCTGAATGAGGAGAGATCCATCATTGCATCTAGATGGCTGCTTGCAAGCTTTTAAGATCCCAGTCACTAGTCATCAGAGTAGGATGTGGAATAATGTTTTTGTGTAGTATATTATGCCAGTTGAGCTTAATGTCCTCTGTGACTGTGGTCCTGAGTCCACAGGTCCAACTACTTGCTCCCTCTGTGTAGCTGGCTGTGGCTAAGAAGTGACTACAACCTTGTCTGTTGTCTGCTCTACTATAGACCTGGAAATTCTTACAGAGCATACAGATGCACTTGTAGAAACATTGTCTGCCAACCCCATACATGGTCTTGGGCACACTGCCCCCTTCATAGATATACCTAATCTTTCAGCCTGTCTACCCACCTGTCTACTCTTGTATCAGTGTTTACCATCACTGACACCATGGTACTGTATGTGCAGAAGGGTTCGTCTTTGTTATGTACCTCCCATGCACCTCTCTGTCTTCCTCTTCCAACATGTCCCACCCTGTTGATCACTTATATTTGGTACATTGCCCTTCCCTTCACCCAAATCAATACTTGTCTCTACCTGTCTAGCAGTGTTCCCTCACCTCCCACCCTGGTAACCAACAAAGAAAGTTTTGTTCCATATATAAACCTTTCCTTGACTTTTTACAATAATGAAGTAATAAAATATTTGTCTTTCTGTGATTGACTTATTTTACTCATGTCCTCCAAGTTCATCCATGTTATGTGGTGTTTTGCAGATTCTACGTTATTCTTTAGTGTCACATAGTCTTTAATTGTAGGAGCTCTGGTGGCATAGTGGCTAAGGCACTTGACTGCTAACCAGAAGGCTGGCAGTTCAAACCCACCAGCCACTCCTCGGAAGGAAGGTTGGGCAGTCTACTTCCACAGTGATACTGCTTCAGAAACCCAAGGAGGGGTCGCTGTGAGTCTGGTGCAACTCGATGGCAAATAACAACAACAATATTCCATTATGTGTATGTTTCATAGTTTGGTTATCCATTCTTCTGTTGATGGGCACCTAGGTTGTTTCCATCTTTTTGCTATTGTAAGTAGTGCTGCGATGAACATGGGTGTGCATCTTTCTCGTTATTCTTGACCTCTGGAATTTGCTTACAATGGAAATCAGAGTCTCGTCTTAGTGCCAAGCCTTGGGAGCCAGGGCCAAAGTAAACTCTTTCCTCTAAGTTATACTTTCCCTAGGTCTGTCTGGGAGTCCCTGGATGGTGTAAACAGCTAACATACTTGCTGCTAACTGAAAGGTTGGAGGTTCCAATCTACACAGAGGCACCTTGGAAGAAAGACCTGGTGATTTGCTTCCAAAAGGTCACAGCCTTGAAAACCCTTTGGAATGCAGTTCTCCTCTGAAGCACATTAGGTTCATTGGCAATTGTTTTTTTGGTTTGTTTAGGTCAACCTGGAAGCTTATCTTCCCACTTCCCCGCCCCTCTTCCTTTCTCCTTCAACAAGGCCATAGCTCAGCTGGCTGTATCCCCATCTCTTAGTGTTTTCAAGCTCCACCCTGGTCTGTGCTAAAGGAAATGAAGTTCCTGTCCACCTGCTTGATGATTTATTAAGTGCTTAATCCAGGGGAAGGACAGTCGTTGTTTTAGGAGTGTGCACCTGCTCTTAGGCACACTGGGACCTCCTAGATTTCTACCAGCAGCTGTTTGAGGGAGTACATGTTTACCGGGTTGGGGTGGGGAACCCAGATGCAGGCCACGCCGCCGTTGAGGAAGGAGTCTCAGCTCTGCTGCTGTCACTTGCATTTGTGAATTTCCTTAAGTGGAAGACAAGGGTCCAAAGCAAACACTGGATAGAGTTGTATGGAGGGCTTTTGCTAGATGTCCAAAGTCTGAGCAGCTCTGTGCTGTTAATTTTGTTAATTGCCATGGAGTTGATTCCAACTCCTGGCGACCTCATGTTTGCAGAGTTGAATTGCTCCATAGTGTTTTAAAGGCAGTGCCCTTCAGAAGCAGATCACCAGGCCTCTCTTCTGAGATGGGTTTGGGTGGGTTTAAATTGCCAACCTTTCGGCTAGTAGTTGATTGTGAAACTGTTGGTGCCTCCCAAGGGACTCCTAATTCCATGCTAGTTCAAGACTAAGCTGGGAGGGTTCTAGCTGGGAGGGCATGGAACTGGCACACTGCAGCACAATGACTCTTTCTCTTTTCCTCCCCTTTCTCATCAGGAAGCAATCCTGCAGCGCTACCAGGTGAAGGGGGATCGCCTCCGGGTATACCTGCACTATCTGCCTTCCTACTACCACCTGCATGTACACTTCACAGCCCTGGGCTTTGAGGCTCCTGGCTCTGGAGTGGAGCGGGCGCACCTCTTGGCAGATGTGATTGAAAACCTGGAATGCAACCCAAAGCATTATCAGCAGCGTACTCTCACCTTTGCCCTCAGGACTGATGACCCCCTGTTCCAGCTCTTACAGGAAGCCCAGAAAAGCTGAGTTGACTCACGACTAGTCAGGAGAGCACAGATATTTGGAGGTTGGGGGTGGGGCTGATGGGGAAGAGTCATTTTACCACCTAGTGGATTTTTTCAAATGTATTTCATACCAGCTTATTCCTAGTATGTAAATAAAGCATTGGGATCATTAGATGTGTACTGATTTCAAGTTCTGGGGAAGCACATGAGATGGGGAAGCAGTGGAAAGTGCTTCCTGAGAAGAGGAAAGTCCTAGGGTGGTTTAGCTGATGTGTGATAACTGCCCTGGGATGATTCCAGAGCCTTTCTCAGAATCCTGTGCTCACCATCCTTTGCTGATTTCCTTGTCTTTTGTCTGACTCTGCCTTTTTGTTTTATGCCTTCCTGTTCTGCCACGTCCTGTCCCTCTTCCTTCTTCCCATATTCTGTACTTCCCAAGTCGTTTGCTAACTCCGAGTGTCCAGGAATTCCCCAAAATACCAAATACAAAACCTTTATGAAAATAATCTACAGAGTTTTTTTTTTTTTGGTGTCACTTTCCCTTTCCTGCATTCGGTGCAAGGTCACAACCCCCCACTTGTGAGTCAGTCCTGTTGACAAATTTGTTGACAAGTATAGAGGGCTGATATCTAGAACTGGGAGGCTTTTAATAGGAATCAGATGGTGCAAGCCCGAAATGCCTGCCTGTGCCTCTGTTATTTGGTCAGCAAGCCCCTGTCCTTGAGCTTATTGTCTAGGCAGAAGACAAAACAGACTTGCATGAAGCAGCCAGGAGATTAAGTACAAAACACTTTGTCAACAAGGACAAAATGTTATGGTTGTAGCTGGATACAAAAGCTCTGAGGGGGCTCAGGCTCAATGTATGATCAATATCACAGGTCCTTGTTCATGGAATGTTGAGGCCAGGGAAGGGACCTCACAGTGTTAGAGACTGATGGCCTAACTGATGGTTTGGAGGTGAGCTTGGAAGGGTACCATCTACCCCAGCTCCAGTAGTGCAGGGACATGGCATGCTTGTTGAGGACAAGGAAATAAACACGTGGGTAACTTTCCAGAGAATCTACTCAGAGGTGCCTTGAAAGAAAGCCCTTGTGATCTATTTCCAAAAAAACAGCTACCAAAAACCCAATGGAGCACAGTTCTACTCTGACGCACAGTGGGCCACCATGAGTTGGAGTCAGTGACTATTGCTTTTAACTCTTTCCAGCACAAAGGACATGTATCATGCTGCCAGAGAAGGGGCTGATATTTGCTGCTGGGTAAAGGTAAGACAGAAATGTTGTGTCATCCAGAAGAAATTCTCAGGGCAGGTAGAAAGTTGGGTTTTACTTAGTGATAAGAGGGAGGCATAGGCAGAGAAAGTGGCTCTTTTCCACGACCCACAAACTTAGACCAGGAGACCTGGATTCAGATTCTAGTTCTATTCATTCATTCATCTAATGTTTATTGAGCACTTACTGTGGACCAGCAGTGTGCCCTAGGTACTGGGAATATGGTGAATAAGCAGCCAAAAGTCTCTGCTTCCTGGAGCTGATATTCACCCCAGGACACTGGATAAGACATAAGACACCCTGAGCCTGCTTTCTTATCTGGAATGAGGATCTCATGAAATGATCTCTATAATAAATGAGAAGTGTTATACTGTTGTTATATCTCAAACTCTGGTTTACTGATTGACTCTTGAGCCAGACAGTATACTAGGTATTGTGGATACAGAGACACTAAAACAAAACCCTTACCCTCAAAGAACTCACAGTATTATAGGGAAGACAGATAAGCTGACAGTTTAAAGAATAAAAGTAATACTTGTGAAGCCACCTTGAAAATAGTTACATATGAAAGTTTATTACCCTGTAAAGATGTATTGTGTTTGGTGTCTCAGAAATACTGGACATGGTGACCCACCCAGTGTACCTCCAGCACGTAGCTGGGCTGCTATCAAGCCTCCCTGAGGGGAATGAGATTCGGGAAGGTGATAAGCCTGGAGGAACTAACACCTTGGGGCGGATGTCCACTACCACCACTCCCTCCAAGTGTCTGACGTGTTTCTCCTGGAGACTCTACAACAGAATACAGGATGGTTCCCGGGGAAAACATCTGCCAGGCCTCAGGCAGGGGCTGTCTTTCTTGGTGAATAGAACATAAGAATGGTAAGATCTTGTTGAGTTATGCCCCCAAAAAAGATACGTTGAAGTCTTAAACCTCATCCCTGCAAAGGTGACCTTGTTTGGAAAAGGGTCTTTGAAGATGGTATCAGTTAAGTCAACGTGAAGTCATACTGGAGTAGAATGGGTCCTCGTTCTGTATGAGTGGTGTCTTTATAAAAGAGAAGAGAGTCAGAAACGGATGAGGAGAGTTATTCTGCTGCAGACCAAGAAATGTCCGGAGCTACCAAAAATGAAGAAGCAAGGAAGGCTTTTCTAGCATCTCTGGAGAGAGTATGGCCCTACTGCTATACTGAATTCAGACTTCCAGCCTCCAGAACCGTGAGGCAAAAAATTTCTGTTCACCACCCAGTTTGTGATGCTTTGTATAGCAGTCTATAGGGACTAATAGAGGTCTAAAGAGAAAACCTTTTTGGAACTGTTACGAAGATGAATAAAGCTGGGGGAGAGGAATGGAGAGGACACTATCCTGCTCATTCACTCACTGCCTTCGAGTCGGATCCGACTTATAGCAACCCTTCCTTGGGTTTCCAAGGCAGTATCACTACGGAAGTAGATTGCCCAGTATATCCTGTATACTTTGTTGTTGTTGTTGTTGTTGTTATGTGCCGTCGGGTCGGCCCCAACTCATAGCAACCCCTCCTTGGGTTTCCGAGGTGGTATCACTACAGAAGTAGGATTGCCCAACCTTCCTTCCAAGGGGTGGCTGGGGGGTTTGAACCTCCAGCCTTCTGGTTAGCAGTCAAGTGCCTTAGGCACTATGCTACCAGAACTCATCCTATATACTAGAGAGCCCTTTTCTTATAGAGTGCATTGTTGGCTGCCATTGCTTCTGTTCCCAATTGATAGCGACCCCATGCACAACGGAATGAAACGTTACTTGGTCCTGAGTCATCCCCCGATCCACTGTGGATGAGATGATTGTGGGTTTTCTTTGGCTCATTTTCAGATGTGCATTGCCAGGCCTTTCTTCTTAGTCCATTTTAATCTGGACTCTCTGCAGAAACCTGTTCAGCATCATAGCCACAGGAAAGCCTCCACTGACAGATTGGTGGTGACCACATGAGGTGGTTTTTTTTGTTGTTGTTGTTAATTTTTATTGTGATTTGGGTGCAAGTTCACAGAACAAATTCATTTTTCATACAGCAGTTCACATATACTTTATGTCATGACATTGACTTCAATTTTCCACAATGCAACAGCTCCCATCCCACTTCCTTCCCATAGGTACCTCTTCCCTGTGTCCTTCTCTCTCATGCACTTCTGCCCCCCCTGAACTGTCTCCCTGTGTATACATAGCTCTTCTATTCTCCCATGGTTGATCTCTCCAAGGAGTGTATCTACCTGATGTAAATGCTCAGCTCATATGCCTGTCTTTTGTTTGGCTGTAAGCCACAGGAGTGGGTTCAATTCCAGACCTGAAGGGCAGCTAAGGGCCATAGTCTCAGGAGTTCCACCAGGCTCTATCAGACCAGCAAACCTGGTCCCTTTTTTTTAATTAGTATTTCAAATGATTTTTGAGTTTTGTGCCACATCGTTCTCCCACTCTATCCAGGGATCTCCTACATAGCTTCCCCTCTGAGTGGTTGACAGTGGTAGCCAAGCACCATCTAGTTCTTCTGGTCTCACAGTCATATAGGCTGAGGATTCCATGGTGTACCAGTCCCTTGGACTAATTGTTTCCATGCATCTTTGGCTTTCTTCATTCTTCTTTGTTCTGGACAAAGACCTATCATTGCATCTAGATGGCCGCTTGCAAGCTTTTAAGATCCCAGTCACTAATCACCAAAGTAGGTTGTGAAACAATGTTTTTGTCTAGTATGTTGTGCCAATTTAGCTTGATGTCCCCTGCGACCATGGTCCCAAACCCCAGGTCTGACTGCTTGCTCCCTTCCGGTAGCCGGCTGTGGCCAAGAAGTGACTACAACCTTGTCTCTTGTCTGCTCTACTATATACCTGGAAATTCTTACAAATACACTTATAGAAATATTGTCTGCCACTTGGAGAGATCAATCATAGGAGAATAGAAGGGCTGTGTATACACAGAGAGATAGCTGGGAGCAGGAGTGCATGGGAGGGAAGGACAGAGGGAAGAGGTAACTCTGGGGAGGAAGTGGGAGGGGAGCTGTTGTATCATGGGAAATTGTAGTCAATGTCATGAGACAATATGAGCTGCTGTATGGAAAGTGAATTTGCTCTGTAAACTTCCACCCAAATCACAATAAAAATTAAAAAAAAAAAAGAAACATAGTCAACTCTATACATGGTCATGGGCACACTCCCCCCTGCATAGACATATCTAATCGTTCAGCCTGTCCACCCATATATTAATATTTGCCATCACTGACAACGTAGTACTGTATGTACAAAAGGGTTCCTCTTTGTTGTGTGTACCTCCCATATACCTCTTTATGTCTTCCTCTTCCTCAATGCCACCATGTTGATCACTCACATTTGGTACATTGCTTTCCCTTCACCAAAGTCAATACTTGTCTCTACCTATCTAGCAGTGTTCCCTCCCCTGCCCTCCCACCTGTGGTAACCAACAAAGAAAATTTGCTTCCGTATCTAAATCTTTCCTTGACTTTTTACAATGACGAACTAATACAATATTTGGCCTTCTGTGATTGACTTATTTTACTCAGCATAGTGTCCTCCAGGTTCATCCACGTTATGTGGCGTTTTGCAGCTTCTAAGTTATTCTTTAGGGTTGCATAATATTCTACTGTGTGTATGTACCATAGTTTGGTTATCCATTCTTCTGTTGATGGGTATGTAGTTGTTTCTGTCTTTTTGCTTTTATAAATAGTGCTGCGTTGAACATGGGTGTACATATATCTGTTCTTGTCCTGGCTCT